AAGGGAAAGGCACCCCCCCCCCCCCCACGTCTGTACCAATCTGACCAGGAGAAAATCCCTTCCTGACCCCAATTAATGGCATCGGTCTGATCCTGAGCAGAGGGGCAAGACACTGTAGACAGGAACCTTTGTTTCAAGTCCCAGCAGGAGCATTCAAAATCCCAATCAAAATCCCCAGCCTTGGCTGCAGCCAAGTGGTCCAGAAGGTAGCACCAGACCTTCAGTCTGACCCACTGTACATCACAGGCCCTTACTTTTCACTTGTTTTTTCCGGTGCTGAACCCCAATCCTGGTGCTTAACTACAGCATCTCCCAGAACAGCATCCAAGCTGGTTTGAAGATGGTAAGATGGAGAATCCCCGCTTGCCCAGGCTGGCCTGCTTCAGCAGATCGTTTCCACTGCAAAAACCTGCTCCTAGCTTGAACTGGGAATGGCCTGGCTTCCAGCCACAGGTTCTTGTTGCGCCTTTTCCTACTATTGACAGCTGATCCCTCCCCTATCTGACAGTGCTCACGCAGCACCAGGAGGTCGACCCCTGCCACCAGTCAGCCCATGATGCTTAGCCTCTGCCACTGGCTCGCCTTCCTCGCAAACTGGCACTTTTGAGTCTTCTCCTTATCACTGCTGCCCTTCATGCCTCATAAAAACCTTCCAGAAACACCCCAAAATCTCCATTTTCCACTTCAGATCCTTCCCAAATACTCTCAGCCCCAAAAACTTGACAACAGCCAGGCTGCAAGTAACTACTCCATCTCACATTGACCACTGCTGTTGCATCATTTCCTTGTGTGCCCTCATCTGTCTGTCCATCCATTTGCTCTCATCTTATAGGGAGATTGTAAGCTCTCTGGGGCAAGGACCAGCCTTCTGTTCTCTGTGCACATACCATGCCCAGAACAATGTGGCCAAGAGTAGGACCTCCCAGGTGTGACAACAGAAACAAATGACAGAGACCCATTTTGGCCCTCATGTTTCCTTTCTGGAGACATTATGGTGCAATTAAGTCACCTCTTGATTTCCTGTTGGACAAGTCAAACAGTTCACTGCTCTTCTCACTGGGAGACACCATGCTCCATGCCTCAAATCTCTAAGCGAGGACTGCGCTCTCGGTTCCTAGTGCACTAGCTGTATTAAAAGTGGCTGGATTGTGTGTGAACAGGCCCAGCTGACCACACAATTAAAGGCTGATAGAGCTAGGCTCATTTAGTTAGAAGATCGAGGGGGGATTTGGTAACAGCCTTCAAATACCTGAAGGGCAATTACAGAGAGGATGGCGATGGGCTTTCCTCTGTGGCTACATGAGACAGGGTTAGAAACAATGGTCTCAAGCTGCAGCAGAGGAAATTGGGGTTGGAGATGAGGAGGAACAATCTGACGGTGGTCAAGCATTGGAGCAGGCTACCTAGAGAAGTTGTTGGATCTCCATCCATAGGAGTTTTCAAGGCAGAGTGGACAGACATGTGGCCAGGATGGTTTAGCCAGGGATGGTTTGAGCCGGAGCCTGGACTAGATGCGACCTTGTAAGGTCCCTTCCAGCCTGACTTTCCCAAGATCCAGTTTGCACTGGGCGACTGTCCTGCCCTTATTCTTATTTGCTACTCTGCCATTTTCATGTCATCCAAAAATGTTACCAGCGGCAATTTTCTTCTCGTTTCTGTATCACTGATGACAGCAGCAGCAATGGTGATAATGATATATACCCAGCTCCTACCTAGCACTTCCTACCTTATATAAAGCCAGTATCATTATCCCTGTTTTACAGACAGGGAACTGGAGTGCAGATAAAGGATGCGGCCTGCCCAGGGTCCCCCAGGAACTCTATGACAGAGCTGGGAACAGAGCCCAGGTCTTGACTAAGTTTCCAGGGCCTTATCCGCTGCAAGACATAGCTGAGCTGCAGGGGCCTCACGTCTGTTTCTGCTGACTCCCTCCTAGGAACACCCTTCAATGCTGGTTCACCACTCGCCGTGCTCCATCAGCGAGCCAGCTCTGAAGCCAAGTAAGGTGCGCTCCACAGACACTTGAATCAGAAGTCAAACGCACCATCTCTGGCAACAGTCTGGACAAAAGGCCTCCCAGAAGCTGGGAGAAGTCCTGCAGGAGGGGCAGGGAACTGCTGAAAGCATCTCTCTACCCCCTGCGAGGCTGAGGTGGGTTCACATCCAACACAGGGAGGGGATTACATCCCTCATAAAGCCCTACTGAGCATCACTTCTACTCACACCATTGTCGAATATACATGAAGCCCATTTATCTTTGCGCCTCTGCTACTTCTTATGGCAGCAAGTTCCACAGGTTTATGGTGTGCTGGAGAAAACCACGGCTTTTACCTGCTTTGACCAGGCTGCCTTCCAGTTTCACGGAGCGTGCCCTCTGCTATTACTGAGACACAGAAAGGGGCACCCAATTAACCATCTCTGCAACAAGTTACCGTTCATCTCGTCTCCTCAACAGGATTCCCCACATAAAGCCACCTGCCCAGCGCGGAGCCTCCAACCTGTTGGTCCCAAGCACAATGTCTTGGTGAGGACACACCACCACTTCCGATCACTGTGCCTGCTGTATTATTCCCTGACCCATTTCTCATGCACGTGAACATTGTATTTGCTTTCTTGGTTGCTGCCGTGTGCTGAGCAGCCCACAATGACGTCCAGGCCTTTTTTGTGAATGGTTTCAGCTCATTTAAAACCCAGCGATGTACAAGGAGTTTCATAGCAAAATTTGCACATGAAAACGCGGTGCTCACCCTCTTTTCCAGATCACTGATTCAAACCCAGATGCTTTGTGGATCCTCAGGCGCAGCCTCCAGCCACGGGGAAAGTTGAGGGCTTATCCCTATTTCACTTATTTATCATTACTGTGGTAAGGTGCAAGGACCCTGGCTCTGGGAATGGGGCTTGCTGTGATAACTGCCAATCACCAAATGCAGCCCCTGCCCCAACCACACACAGCCCAAGGTGAGCAGAGAGAGTGAACAAGCGGGTAAACGGGCCGGTCAAGAAGACTGGCTGAAGGATGGGTACATTTGTACAAGTTAGCAGCCTCGGTGCAGATAGTTGCAATTAGTAGAAATCATGACAGAAGTCAGTTTTAGGGGAGATGTAAAAGAGGACAAGGCTGATTCCATCACTGCCAAGAGGGACATTTTTCCCAGCAGCAGAGAGGCCGCAGGGGGGAGCTTGAAGTTACCTGAGAACAGTCATCAGGCTGAGCTGATGTCATGGATGCTGTAGTAAGACATCAGACCTGACCAGGGAGGAGGAGAAAGGCCTAACACACCAACGTCAGACTCCCTTTGAAAGGAGAAGGGGGGGCAGTGGCAGAGCAGCAGCAGGGGGTTGAAGAGCCAGAACAAGGGGCCAAGTCGATGAACCTGGCAGCAGCGTTCCCCATGAACAGAAGGAGGAGAGCTCAATGGCACCCATGCTACAAAGGGGGAGGAGAGCCACAGTGACAGCACTGGATCATAGATGCAGAACGTGCAAGATGAAAGGGCAAGCTGTCGATATGGCCCAGTTATACATGTGTCAAAGGAAAGAGACCGAAGAAGAGGTCCATGAGACAGGCCGGGGCAGCACCATGTAGAAAGGTGATGGCTTGTAGGAGATTAATACCTCCGTTTTGTCCAAGCTGAGCTTAACTTGATGGCTGGACACCCAGAAGAGATGCCAGAAAAGGCAAGTGAGGATGTGCTACTGGTTAAAGGAAGGGAGAAAGCTGATCAGCAGACTGGTATATCAGCATAAAGATGGCTAACGGCAGGGTTTTGGATCACAGCGCTGCAAACAGGGTGCAGAGAGGGGGAAAGGACAGGCCAGAGATAGGGCCTTCAGAGGTGTCCACCAAGACAGGCTGAGGAGGACCTGTTAAAGGAGGCTTGAGGTAGGCAGGGACCATAAAAGGACAGGAGTGCCAAGAAAGCGATTTCAGGAAGGTGTGGTTGTCAGCAGCAATGGCCATCATGGAGTTAAGGAGAATGAGGCTACAGCACAGGCTTCAAGATCTTGCCCATCACGAGACCAGTCTGGATAATGCAGAGGATCTCAACCTTTCCAGACTCAAGACACGCCTTGTGAGGCTCCAGGCCCCCCTCAGAAAATGCCATCTCTTCACTTCCACTCATTTCTCAACCATGGAAAAATAAGAGCAATTCTTCTGTGACAAGAAAGTGAGAGGGACCACAGCAGGTCTAAATGTTTGTGATGCTGGGGATTCCTGTTTGAAATCTCTGGGTTTATCTTATGAATCATGCGCAAGTGTCTGGACACCTAACAGTATTCATAATGTGCATTACCCTTGATAGGGTCTTGTATCGCCCAGCTGAGGATCACTGGGGTAGAGCAAAGAGAGGGTCAGGCCCAGAGGTGGAGGAGAGGGGCAGAGCCCAGAACGATGACGCCAGAGCTGGTGACAAAGTCTGCGCCTGCAGGGCTTTGGGAAGTCCAGTCTCAGTCCCCAGGAAATGTGGCAAGAGTCTCCTCTCCAAAATCCTTTCCACCATTGGCAACAACACCGCTGAGGACACTGGTGCCCCTCCCTGACAGAAAGCCCATCTGGAATCACCTCAAGCACTTCTGCCCCCATATCAAGAGCTACAGCCTCACGGACACTATCAGAGACTCTGCCGCTGCCTTCGCTTTTACACGGAAACCGCATGACCCATTGCAGCCTGAGGCCGAGTGGCTAGAGAAATGAGAGCGCAGGCAGCAGCTGTGACGGCTCCTTCAGTTGTTCTGGAGGCAGAGATGAAGGCGCACAGGGGCCAGAGCGGAGATGAAGGAGCGCAGGCTGGCGAGACAGGTGAGGTCAGGAATGACTCCCCTTCTGGTGGAGGAGACTTGGCTGGAGAAGGACAAGGAAGGAGGCAAGAACGGAGGTGAAGGAACTAAACGAGCAGAACAGGGTAAAAGGAAAACACACAACATAACGCCAGGGCTCCACTGCCAGGGGAGTGGGAGGAGAAGCTGCTGGGGCAGGGCTGCGGGGCCTGCTAAGGAGCAGAGTGGGCTGCTCTGAGGAGAGCTGTGCCACACCAACCCCCGCGACCTCCACCCCAGACATCTGCCTGACTGCAGCCACATGCATAGAGGATGCTGGAGCCTGCAATCCCAGCACAGACAAGGCAGCCATTCTCCAATGCCGCCTGCACAGCGACAAACTACAGCAAATGCTCTTTGGAAGTCCAAGCACACAGCGGAAGCCAATTTTTGGTCATCCACTACTGTCAACATCCTCAGGCAGCTCCAGTGCTGGAGAGGCCCAATTCTGCATCAGAAAGCCTGACTCCAGCCTGACTCATCTGACCCCAGTACTCTTTCCTGCCTAGGCAGGGGGTCGGACTCGATGATCTGTTGAGGTCCCTTCCGACCCTAATGTGTATGAATCTGTGACTGTCTCTGGCACCCCTCACCCACCCACAGACGAGAGGGGGTCCCTTCATCACCGTTTCAGCCATTCTCCCCAGTACTGAAGGGAGCGCGTTGGCCTGTCATTGCCAAGAGAACACTTGACCCTTTAAAAGGCCACCCACATGCTCCTGACTCCCAGGCCACCTCACATGCCCACCCCGTGCTGCACTCCCCCACCAGCCATCCGCACGTGCCAGCCAGCAGACTGCCCCATGCATTCACCTCTACCATCAGGTCGCCCCCCATTCACGGTCTGCTGCACAGGCCTGCCTGTCACGAGGCGTGCTACCCCACAGGCTGGCCTGCCCCCAGACACGGGCTGTATGACCAAGGGGAGTGCTCACAACCAGTGCTCACTTGCCAGTCACTAATCCTGCAGGTCCCCAGTGCCACCGTCACTAGGCTGCCATTCTCATATAAACGGCACGCTGCTCACACTGCCCTAGGCCGGCAGGTCCGGATCTCCCCATCTCGAGGGTTTGTCAAAGGCGTCATGCTCCAGGTAAGCAAACTGAGGGCAAACACCAAGCCGCCAAAGGGGCAGCACCGTGGGCTGCTGGACTCTAATGCAGAGCCCTCAGTGACGGCTTGGAAGAGGGTGCCACTGCAAGCAGATCCCAGGTCCTCAAGAGAAAGTGCATGCAATCTCTGACAGCCACTCAGCCTTCGCGCTCCTCAGACTGCCCAGCACTGCGCCTTCTGTTACATTGAAGTCTCCTTAAGAAACCCCAATGTCACAAGCTACAATTGCTCTCCGTCACTGCTGGGAGCCCCGGAGGGACACAGCTCCCAACAAGCACAAGGCGGAGGAAGGCATGTCCTCACGAATGGCAATCCCTTGAATGTCAGGAGGCCTCCAATGGCCACAGGAAGGCTACAAGGTTGTTACGGGTGCCTGAAGTATGGCACCTTGACAGTGCCCAGCAACGAGTGCAGAGCTAGTCTCCCGGAGCCCCTGGAAGTCACCTGTTAGGTAGCCAGGGGACACACAAGAGCCAAGTCCACAGACAAGTCCCGCGCCCCGCAGCACAGGGCTTTCCCAGCATCCCTGCATGCAGCAGGAGTTGAACTGCAGAACCAGGCACCCTGTGAGACCGCGGGGGTCGGATCCGCTCTGGCCCCTGCCCCGGAACCGGTCTGGAAGCAAACCCGCCCCCCCATTCCCGCAGCGTCAGAAGCAGTGACCGCTGCACACCTCACCCAAACGCCTGCCCGCGGAGCTGGGCCCATCCCCTGCCCCTGCCACGCGGCGTGGACCGCCAGCCAGCACCCAGGGCACACGGCAGGGCTGCTCCCAGCCCAGCCCTGGCGCCTGGCTCGCTCATCCCTCTGTTCAGCACCAGCCAGCTCTCTAACTTTCCCGACTCACCACCCCGTGGACCAGAAACTCAAAAAGTTTGCTTTTCGTGGCTTTGCGAGCCCCGCCGGCAACTTCATCCGTGGCCATCGGGTCGGCTCAGCCTCTCTCCTCTCCCTCTGCCTCTTTCTTTCCCTTTTCTGCCTTTTTCTCCAACTCTCCCCTCTGAGTCCTGCTGGGCTCTCACACTTCTAATAGAGCGGAGTGGGGAGGGGGCCCCTTCAGGGCCTTCCTGACGGCCCACTCCCGCTAATCCTCAGCTGCTGCATTCCTCAACTGATAAGCCAGAAATAGTTTGCGCTGCCCGGGTCTGTGTGTTTACTCTGCAGGGACAGAAAATCCAGCCTTTTAAACCTCTCTGTCCAAACAGCAGAGATAAGCGGGAGGCAAACTGAAAACACGTCTGAGCCTTCCAGCAGCAGCACTGCAGCCTCTCCTCTCCAGCGCCACAGGATCCTGGGCCCTGGGGTGCAGGGGGAGCTCCGGCAAGGACATGGAGCAGCTCACGGGGAGGCTCTGCCAGCTAGAGAAAGCACCCGGCAGCCGTGAGGAACAATAGCGGTCTTGGTCTCCTCCAGCACTGCATTCCCAGGCCTTCTCCCCAGGGACGTGGCAGGCAGCACAGAAACATTCACTGGCAGGATTTCCAGCACAGAAGGCTAAGAACAAGCCCCTCCGGACAAGCGCAGCACCAGCAGGAGACAGAAATCCGGGGAAAGGAAGGGCAGCGCGCAAGCCAGAGGAAGGAAAGAGTGTGAGGAGAGGGAGGCAGGCGGAGGGGGAGCGTGCGCCAAGGAGTCAGCGCAGCATGGCGACGGCAGGGCACAATGTGTGGCTGGCTTCCCCGCCTGCCTGCATCCCGATCGCCTCCCCGGCTAGGGGCCCTGCCCTCGAGATGCTCGCGGCCCACTGTTCCAGCCCTGCCACACACCCCTGCAATGGATGGATGGACACAGACAAATCATTAACGCTGTACATGCTTCCCCGCGCGAGTGGCCAGCAGTGTGCAACAAAGCCTCACGTGCACGACAAAGCACGTTGTCCCCAGGGACACGGCCTGCCCCGCCACGCCCAGGGAAGGGGAGAAGGGAGGGATGGGGCAGAAGAACTGGGAGATGGGTTTCACAGCCTTCGCCTGCTCCCAGCGCCCAGGCCGGCGGGAAAGGTGCGGGTGCTGCCGGGCTCTGGGAGCGGCCGCCATTCTGCGCTCAGCTGCACTGGCTCCTCCATCACCACAGCCGTGGCCTGGGGCAGCAATCTGCTTGCTGACAGCTCCGCATGCGCCCGCAGCCTGCCAGGGTTTGCTGCCACAGCAAGAGAGACGTTGCCAGGTTACAGGAGGGTTTATCCTTCCCGCCTGCTCACAATTCCTGTCGAGGAGCTGGGAAGCGACCCGATCTCTCGCGGTCGCTGACCCAACTGCTGCAGCCAGAACCACGTGTAGGAGACACTGAATGAGCTGGAAGCGAGCCGCGCCGTAGCTCCCACCCGGAGGCATGGGGACCAGGCAGCTCAACCCCGGCACTTGCGTGGGGCTCCCTGGGGGAATTCCAGGAGCCTGGGGGGCGGGAGTGCCTGGCCCCTGCGCCACCTTGAGCAGCGCGTGGCAGGCCGCCGTCCCGCCAAACCCCGGCTCTGGGTCACCGTTTGGTGGGCAGCACCAGCCCCACCTCTCTGCAACAGAAGCATCCTCCAAATCAGGATGCACCCTCCCTGCCTTTGTCCTGCTCCTCGTGGCCAGGCACCACGCCCATTGCTGGGAAGCTCCAGCCTCTGCAGCACAGGATGTTGGGGTCACCTCCCTGGATCCCCACCACGGGTTGGGTGCAAGCTGCTGCACTCACAGAGCGGGACGGCCCTGCCTGCACGTGCGAAGGCGCCTTTCTGGAGGGAGCGTTAGCCAAGCCCGTGTCCAGGCAGGGGCAGCCCCAGGCAGCCGGGAGGGCAACAGGGCTGCGGGCAGCTCCAGGCGCAGACGACACGGCCGGCACCTGCCACGGGTGCGAGGGGCTCGCCACAAACAGGCTGGACGGCCTGCGCCCTGCATGGCTCGGGGCACACACACATGCAAGAGCAGCGCAGGCTGGCATGCCTGCAGGGCCACCCACCAGACACGCACGCGTGCACAGGGTCTTGCACGCCCACCAACGGGCAGGAGTGCAGGTACGCATGGACACGTGGCATCTCCCATGTGTGCAGTAGGTGGGATCCCGTGCACACTTGCATGAACACAAGCAGGGTCTTGCACACGCACACTCTTGACCACGTGACGTCTTGCACACGCACAAACACCCGGGTTCCCGTGCGCACACACGCATGAACACGCAGGGGCTCGCACATGCAGGACATGGGCAGTGGCACGCCCAGCCCAGGCGGGGCACAGCCGGGCCGGGCCGGGCCGGGCCAGGCGCTGCGCGGGGCCGACGGAGCCCCCCTCTCGGCCCCCCACGTCGGCT